TTTCAGGCAGCCGCAGCTAGCAACAACGTGGCGCTGCTAGCATATAGCCTGTCCAAAGGCGCTGAAGGACGCAGACCTGCCTTGGAGACAAAGAGCTCCCTCTGTAAGGCAGCAGACGTTATCTTCAACATGTGTGCCTCTTCTACGGTTTGCCTGTCAACGATTGCAGCGTGGATGATGATGATCCAACGATCCACCTGGTTTCATTACTCTCCCTCGCTGCCGGAGAAACTGCACAAAGACCTATTATTTGATGGAGGGTCCATCACGGCGGACGCGCTGTTCGAGAGCAGCTTCAGATCCATGCTGGCGAGTTGAAGCAGTCAGAGGAGGTGCCAGAGGCTGTGCGCCACCTCATCAAGCCGCGCGGCTCATCCCGCCCCCCGGCCCACTGGAGGGACCGTCGCTAGCAAAGCATCAATGTTTCCACGGCCGCAGCTCTCGCTCAGTTCCACCACCAGCCCCACCCGTCAGAATCCAGCCCTCTTCATTTCGGCAACCTGCAGTTCAGCGTTTCCCCAGAGTTCGCCTGCAAGACAGTGCTCTGGGCAAACAAATCGCAGAGCTCAAGAGGGAGAAGCGTTGAAAATGACGGTCTCAGGAGGGTGTGCGTAAAAGTGACATGAAAGTTGAAATGAATCATCATTCAATGATCAAAGTGTCTGTTTTTTACCCAGTCTGTAAGCTCGGATGAACTCACAGTGGCTGCGCACACATCCTTCACACATAATGAGCCGGTGTCATTAAATAAAGGTTTTTTAAACTCACCGTCGCTCCAAGACATGACGAGTCGATCACACGACACAATGGTAAGCGAAAATAACTCGTTATCATCCAGAGCAGCACGATCCTCACCCAAGCGGTGTCAAACTCGCACTCGTGGGATGAAACAGCCTCCATCCAACGGCGCTGTGTTGATGTGGCTCACACACACACAGCTGCCCGGTGCTCTCCGGCTCACATCGGTATAAATGTGGACCGCAGGCTGGTTCAGGTGGAGGTTTTCGCTCTCACAAGAGCGACACTCGCCCCACCGAATCAAACGCGGGCAGCCGTCACTCACCGCGTCTCAGCATAAAGCGTGAGGCAGCTGAACCAACCCTGATGACGAGTTCCACCTCCTTCCAGCGAGAGCGGCGCGCTTCCCTCCAGAGAAAACACGTACTCCCGCGGGGCTCGCAGCCTTCACTCCAACAGCACGGCGTAGATGAAGTCACGCCCTACGCCTCTCAACGTTAGCACAGCGACGTCAAACGCGCAGCCCCACAGCGTCATCAGCTGTCACGCGCTTCACCTCAGCACACACCGGCCCACCTGTACATGAAGGTTGGTTCGCGGCCCGAACACAGCGCACGAGCGCGTTCAGAGCCTTTTTTCGAGGAAGCCTCGCCTTGGGTCAGGCAGAAAACATTCCCGCGATGCATGACAGCGGTCTCGAGGGGCGGACTGCTGACGGCCGTACAAAACGTGACGCATCACTTAAACGCACGTTCACTCCACGAACATTACGTAGAGTGGCTAAAACATGCTCGCCGGTCAGATGGATGGACAGGACGTTATGCAAATAGTTACAAGTTACAGTTTTGCAACCCGACCCCCTCCGTTCGGAGGAGTTATAGAAACGGTCCTGTCATCATAAGACCAAATTTCATCCTTAAATGCAAAAGTCCAAGTGTTTCTGATAAAAGTAATCTCCAGAGTTCCCCAACAGAGAGAAAACACAGGGTTTTACTCACGTTACTTCCCGGTTTCCAACGGACCGGAGGAATGAGACCTATCGTGGATCTGTCAGTTTTTTCAACAAGATGATCATTGACAGACTGTTTTTCACATGTTGACAACTAGACAGCTGTTGTACAACATCCAGAGAAACGCATACCGATCATCCCAAAACACAGAAAATTCCTGCATTTTTTCTCCTTTCAGGGGATGAAGTATCTGTTACACAGAGCAGGGATGAGAGTTTTTTGTTTTACCTGGATGATCTGCTGCTCCTGTCACTCCAGACAGGAGGCGCTGATGCAGGCTCAGGTGTTGACATCACACCTGTCAAATCTGGTTTTCGCCATAAATTGGAAGAAAAGCTCAATTTTTTTCCCGGCCCAGACAATTGTTTATCTGGGAGTGGAATTAAATTCAACCACCAGGAAGGCTCGTTTATCACAAATGAGGTTCGACATTTTTAAAAGTCAACTTCGCCATGTAGACCTGGCAAAGTGGTAACAGCTATTTCCGTCTTGAAGCTGTTAGGAATGATGTCATCAGCTCACACAGCGGTTCCACTGGGTTTGTTACACAGGAGACGCCTCCACAGGTGGTTTGCGTGTCTGCGTGTGGATCCAGTAAAACAAAAGAGACGGATGATCACTGCCCCCTCCCTCCGTGAGAGCAGACCTCCGACACTGGGGAAACACCCTGGTTCTGTCAGGGGGAGTTCCCGTCAGCAGACCCACGTCACACGTGTCAGTTTTCACGGACGCTTCGCTGTCAGGCTGGGGGGGGGGGACATACCTATCTCAAGCAGTAGGGGCGCTGCAGCCCCACCACACATCAGCCCACGTAAATGTCTTTGGAGTGTCGCACAGTGCTGAATGTGATTCAACACTTTGCTCCCGTGCTACAGAATCAACATGTGTTGATTCACTCAGACAACATGATGACTGCTGCGTACATAACCATCAAGGAGGTGTGCGTTCAGCCCAGATGTTACACATTGCGCAAAGCTACTGTGTTGGGGTCATCAAAACCTGCTCTCCATCAGAGCAGTTTACATACCCGGTGTTCTGAACAGAGGGGCAGATGTGATGTCCAGGGGCAGCCCACGTCACGGGGACGGGACTCTCCATCCAGACCTGACGGTTCAGACGTGGCAGAAGTTTGGCAAAGCAGCTGTGGACCTGTTTGCGACACGCGAAGAACGCTCAGTGTCAATTATGGTTTTCCCCTGAGCCCGCGAGACGATCCACCGCTGGGGGTGGATGCATTTGCTCACAGCCCATGGCCCAAAACGCTCCTGTACGCGTTTCTCCCACTTCCTCTGATTTTACGGTTCCTGAACCGAGTTCAGGAGGAGAGATTGACAGCTCTTCTGGTGGCTCCCGAGCGCGTGAACGCACCATGGTTCCCAGTCATGCAACGTCTGTTGTTGGGTCGTCCGTGGAAACTGCCGTAGAGGGAGGTCACTCTCCTTCAAGCAGGAGGAGCGATCAGGAGTTACTCAGAAATAGGCCAGCACCTGTGGGTCTGGCCGCTGAGCGGTCCCGCTTAGAGAGGATGGGTCTCCCGCAGGAGGTAGTGCGCACAATCCAAGATTCACGTGCTGCATTTACCACAGCTCTGTACACATCAAAGTGGACGGCTTTTCAGCGCTGGTGTACAGAGAAAGGTGTAGAGGCCACCTCATGCCCATTAGGCGGCGTGTTGTCTTTTCTACAACAGCTGATGGATAGGAAGTTGGCATTCAGCACGATTAAATCGTACGCTGCAGCCATCTCTTCCTGCCACGAAGGGTTCGGAGACAGAACGGCTTTTAATCACCCGCTGATGGAGCGGTTTCTAAAGGTGTACAGAGATGCAGGCCTGCTTCACGCCCACTTGCTCCACAGTGGGATTTAACGCTGGTCCTGCGAGCCCTGATCAAGCTCCATTTGAGCCTCTGGATCAGTTTTCACTTAAATTCTTGTCTCTTAAAACAGTTCTGCTGCTGGTTTTAACATCCGCTAAGAGGGTGAGGGATTTATTTGCCTTCTCTGTCGCTCCGTCATGTCTCAGAATTCAGGCTGACGGTAGTTCAGCTGATTTAAGACCAAACCCAGCTTTTATGCCTAAAACATCACGAGCTCTTTTAAATCAAGAGTGATATCGTTGGAGGGGTTTTTCCCTCCCCTCCACAGATCAGAAGAAGAAGCATCTTTCCATCTTCTCTGTCCGGTGCGGGCGTTGACGTGTTACATAGCGCGCACAGCTGTAATGTGTCAAACTCAACACCTGTTTGTGCATTATACAGAGGCATCTGCAGGTCGCCCGTTATCCACCCAGCGCTTGTCACACTGGCTGTGTGAGGCCATTTCTGAAGCCTACAAGCATCAGATCTAGAGCCTCCTGTCAACCTCAAGCACACTCGACCAGGGTTATCGCATCTTCGACTGCTCTGCACAATGGTATGTCAATGCAGGACATTTGCACTGCGGCTGCGTGGTCAACACCCTGCTCATTCATTCGCTTTTTGTGTCCTTAGTGCTCTAACAGAATGAATATTGTTGTTTTTCATGGAACTCTATTTAAGCTCACATCTGTCTGCATGCATTACAGTGTAATGAAACTGCCGTAGAGGGAGTGCTGAGTCAACTCAGTTCCTAAATGTCCAACAGTCACAAGTTGTGTCTGTGTTTTTGGTTCTATTGTCATTAATCAGTTCATGACTATTGTTACCAATCAGTTCATTTGATCAATAATCAGTTCATTGTTTTTTGATCTGCTTATAATACTCAGCCATGAATCAGTTGGTTCATGCACACACCCCCCCACCTCTTCTTTTCAACATCCTTTCCCCGTTGAAAATTTCTGGGGCGTTCATGTTTTTGTCAGTACGCATAGTTACACAACATGCGTCTGTGCATGGCACATAATTACGCAACGCGTAGTTATGCACACGGGGAGCCGCGTGAAAAGACGTTTTTTGGGCAAGCTTCCACGTCAAACTGTGTTCGAATGGACCCAGTGAGGCGAGGACCACATCGGCTTCGCCCTTTACCCACTAAAGCGAAGGCCTTAAAGGGCGAAGCTTATACGACATAGAACGTTGGTTACGTTCTGTAACCCCAGATTCTATGAGTATAAGCGTAGCCCTTTAAGCGTCGGGCCTCACTGGCTCCTAAATGGCTGAAGAAAAAGCTATTTTGGGAGCCGATTTCCCGCTCTTAACGTAATTTATGCGGACCGGGTGGGGCCCACACAGCAGGTGGGCGTGGACTAAATTTTTTCAGTGCTTATGCTGCGCATAACGGGATAAACCCACTAAAGCGAAGGCCTTAAAGGGCTACGCTTATACTCATAGAATCTGGGGTTACAGTACGTAACCAACGTTTTCATGAGCTGTATGCCATAATCATCAGTATTAAAACAATTAAAGACCTGAAATATTTCAGTTGGTGTGCAATGAATCTGAAATATATGAAAGCTTCATTTTTATCATTACATTATGGAAAATAATGACCTTTATCACAATATGCTAATTTTTTGAGAAGGACCTGTATATATTTATTTATATAAGAAACAAAAACAGCTACATTATAAAGTGATGTAAAATACTAAAAACAGGAACATGTCTGTGTTGGTTTATGCCATAAACTTAGCAGAGGTTTGAAGCCATTTAATCACTTTAATATCCACTTTAAAGCTAGGAATAAAACAAACATGTTTTGTGTTAGCAGGATTTAATTCTCACTTTGAAACTTATCCAACATGAATGAAACTTACCCCAAGTTGCCTTTTTGGACATACATGTCTATATTTGTACAAACTGTACTTGAAAGGAGATTATTATAGCCTCCTAAAATCAATTATGATTATGATATCGGAATAGTATCAGTATTGGCCGATATCCAGATGTAGGTTATTGGGATCGGATCAGAAGTAAAAAAATGTGGATCGGTGCATCCCTAATAAATACATGTAGAAAATAATGATCCAGCGAAGAGTAGCACTCGACTGCAGCCTTAAGTAGTGTGGAGTCTCATCAGGTAGATGGCTGACAGCTGGTGGCAATTAGCGGCCATCTTGCAGAGAGGAGTTGCAGATGGTTGTACTCTTACAGCTATAGGCTTAGGAGGACAAACTGACCACATGTTTTTATTAAGGTTGATTGGTTGATTGATTGATTTACTCTGCTCAACCTGTTTTGTATTTGTATTTTTTTTAATCCTTGACATGTGTTTAGTCTTTCTTCCAATAGGAGGTACACCTGCACCTATATCTGGACCTGCCATTCTGTGTTATTTTGTCTCTCCTTCCTGTCCTCTCAAACCCAACAGGTTGAAGCAGATGGCCGCTTGTCCTTAGTCTGGTTCTGCTGAAGGTTTCTTCCTTTTAAAAGGGAGTTTTTCCTTTCCACTGTTTCCTTTGTGCTTGCTCAGGATGGGAGACTGTGACAAAGTGAAGATTCAACTTGTCTGCTGGATTCCTTAAATAGAGAACTTTACTAATTAGCTTTTCTATGTATGTGAATGATCCTGTTCATTCATTCATTCCACCTTTATTTAGAAAGATAAGTCACATTGAGCCTAGAAGACTCATTTACAAGTGAGATCTGTTTAGACAGACAAAAAGTAGTGAAACTGGACATATGTAGGAATTGGAGGCAAAAAAAAATTCCTATCAGACTCTTTCTTCTTGCCTGAGAAGAAAAACTTGGATATTAAAAAACTCATCGCACAAACAAGCACATAGTGACGTAGACATTCTACAGGGGTGGGGTGGTGGGCGTGACACAAGAGCGGTGAGCAATGTCTATAGACGCTCTCGAGGGCACTGTAAGAGTTCTGATAAGGATGGAATAATCAGCCAGTGTTCTCCGGTGAGATCCATAAACATTTTCGACGTATGTCTAGGAATGGCCAAGGATAACGTCTATGAGAATCCAAGAGTCCTGAAATGATGACACAATTTTTATTCAGCTGGTTTCTTCTGGTTATCAGTTGGAAATTCCTCAGGGAGGGGATGGTGAGCATCAGATCACGTTCTCCTGGCGAATTCAGATAAGATAGCCTTCAAGGCCAGCCAAGGAAGCCAAATACAGATAAACACACAGATGTTTTGGGGACAAGCAGAACTTAATGATATCTACCTTGTGTCTGTGTTGGTCAACTCAGTTCCTAAATGTCCAAATTACATGGCCACACCGATGGAACGTGCCTGAGTAAAATCCCCGAGATCTGATCCATTCTGCCGTCAAAAAGGCAAGCAACACGATCGGGTCCAAATTTGCTGCCGACGACTTCCTTGATTGTTGATAAAACCAGCAACCAGCCGAATCCAAAAAGCAGGAACCAGTTATCGTGAATCCAATTAAATATATGTCCTTAAAATCCACAAATGGCAGCCGATATAGACACATCATCAAGTCTTCCAAGTCTTTGGATTTAGGAGGAGCAGTGCAGTTTTCGTCCTGGTTGTGGAACACTGGACCAGCTCTACACTCTCAGCAGGGTCCTGGAGGGTGCGTGGGAGTTTGCCCAACCGGTCTACATGTGCTTTGTGAACTTGGAGAAGATGTTCGACTGCGTCCCTCTGGGAACCCTGTGGGGGGTACTCTGGGAGTATGGGGTACCAGGCCCTTTGATACGGGATGTTAGGTCCCTGTATGACCGGTGTCAGAGCCTGGTCCGCAGTAAGTCGGGCTCGTTCCCGGTGAGAGTTGGACTCCGCCAAGGTTGCACTTTGTCACCGATTCTGTTCATAACTTTTATGGACAGAATTTCTAGGCGCAGCCAAGTTATTGAGAGGATGTCATGAACCAGAGGCCGGATCGCAAACAACAACAACAACCACTGAGAGGGTTAAAAGATTTATTGTGAAATAAAGTAAAACTCTGGAGTAGGTCCGGTTCTGGGCTGGTTCCGATCTTCTGATTGGTAGTTCGTGATTGGGTAGTGTAGTAGTGGCGGGCTGCCAGTAGAAGTAGAACTGATGTTAAGGTCCACTGGAACGGAGTCCAACAGGCTTGCAACTAAAAGATAAAGGTTAGTAGATGCAGGGGGAAAAAGACTAATTGGGGAAATGAATCTGTGGGAATCAGATTCAGGGGTAAGGATAAGTCCGTGATACAGAATGAGCTTGACCTTTAATCCGTGATCCAAAAAACAGTCAGAAGGGAAAGGCAGAGTTCATACCGTGAAGTCAGTTGTTCAGCAGAAGTATCCAGTACGTGATCCAAAAAGAGAGTCAAAAAACAAGAGCATGAGTCGGTACCTGATCAGATGAGCAAAAGCAGACGAGGGCTGAGGCAAAAGCGTGGTCGTGGTCAAGGCAAGGGTCATGAACGTGATGAGTCAATCAATGGAATGCTGGAAAGTCTACTGCTGATGAGACAGGATAGAGAATCTGGCCCAGACTGAGAGGAATGAGTGAGCTTAAGTACTGACTGGACCAGGTGGTGGAGCTGTGGGATAATGAGCGGTGACAGGTGACATGAGTTGAGTGATTACTGAGTGTGCAGCATGACAGAGGAGCTGACAGAGAGCAGAGCTATGACAGA